TATATATATATATATATATATATATATATATAATTAATCCACCTCCAGAATAGTAGAAGTCCCACACTTATTGCACTTCACAAATTCAAGACGATGGTTAAAAAATATTGAATTATAGTAGAAGACCCTTAACTTGTTGCACTCTACAAGTTCGAAAATGATGATTAAAATATATTGAATCATATATAAGAAGAAAATAAAATAAAAATTTTATTTATTACGCTAGACATTTTTGGTCAATACGTGCCTGTCAAATATTCCTTCGGCCGTAAAATGCAAATGGAGGTCAAAAATTGGGTCCAATCTATGAAATTCAACGTTTGAAGGACCGAAAAGGTAAAATACGCAAACTTTAGGGTGTAAAAAGAACAAATTCAAAATCCTGTTTTGGACAAATGAAGAGAGAATCGAGAGGCCAATTATAACATTCTACTCAAAACAGCTCAAGGCGACTCTGTCCTCTGTACACGGTTTCGCGTTGACTTGCGGATTTAATTGTGAGATTATTGAGAACTCAACTTCTCTCTGCTTTTAATCTAAGATATTTGCAATTGTATATTTTTTTCGGTTGGATCTAAATCAGCTCAGGAACAGAAAGGGAGTTTCCAGTTCTGTTCTGCAATCTGTAAGTTATTATGTGATTCTTGATGTATTTATGTATATGTATACGTATATGTATATGAATATAAGTTCGCACTCAATAATTGACTCTTATGATAATCATTTCTAGATTTAATAGTTGTTTTGTGGAATAAAATGCCAGCTATTATGTGACAACTGCTTTTTTTTTCTTTTTTTTCTTTTTTTTCCCCCCCAGTCATTCATTCTTATCCGTTGAACAAGATTATTCCACAATCCAACTACGCCATATTGATTATTGGGATTGGTCAATATTCTCAAATTTTAGAGTGTTGGCCCTATTCTGCAAATTGGTTTTGCTCTTGATTCAGATCAGATTTTGTTTGTTTCCAATAAGAAAGAACCAAGAAAATGCCTCTGGCGGAGCTCTTTCTTTCTGCATTCATTCAGGCACTGTTTCAGCAATTAGCTTCAAGTCTGGTGGTGGCCTTCACCCGCCGGGAGAGAATTGATACCCACTGCAACAAATGGCAACAAAATCTGTCTTTTATTCAGGCGGTGATCGATGATGCTGAAAATAAGCAATTAACTGATCAAGCTGTAAAAGTATGGCTGGAGGGGCTCAGGGACTTGTTCTATGACTTGGAAGATATATTGGAAGAGATTACCACTCAAGCTTTGATTCAACAACATGAAGGAGTTCTGCCCAGAACAAGTCTGTTGCGGAAATTGATCCCTACTTGCAGCAGTTTATTACCTGCTTCACTTGCATCCAACCATAGGATGGTGTCCAAGGTAAAAGAAATCTCAAACAGATTTGATGATATCGTGAAGCTTAGGAATGGTTTGAAATTGGAAGAGAATTTGGGTGGGAATTCTAACCGATGGATGGTAACCAGATTGCCTAGCACTTCCTTAAATGAGCCCCACATTTATGGAAGAGACAAGGATAAAGAAGCCATACGGGAATTGTTGATTGGTGAGGGGGTGTGTCAAGATGATGTTTGCTACGTTCCAATTGTTGGGATGGGTGGAATTGGCAAAACGACTCTTGCCCAACTTGTCTATAATGATAGAGATGTTAAGGGAAGTTTTCATGTGAGGGCTTGGGTTTGTGTATCTGATTTTGATGTGTTTACAATAACCAAGATAATTCACAAGGCAGTGACTGATGATAGCGGTGAATCTAAGGACTTAAATATGCTTCAAGTCAGTTTACAGCAGGAGTTGTCGAAGAGCAAGTTCCTTATTGTTCTTGACGATATTTGGAATGAGGACTATGAAAAATGGAACACGCTATGTCGTCCTTTCCATGGCGGGCAACCTGGAAGTCGAATTATCGTTACAACTCGCCTTGATCATATTGCATCGAAGGTGGGGTCTGTTCCAGCATACTCTATGAAGATGTTGACAGATGGTGATTGCTTAGATCTTTTAGCTCATCACGCTAAAAGAGGTTCTATAGATGCTGATCCAGATTTAAGAGAAATTGGTAAGGGACTAGTGAAGAAGTGTAAAGGATTGCCTTTGGCAGCAAAAGCACTCGGTGGCCTCCTACGTTCTAAGGGAAGTAAGGAAGAGTGGGCAGATGTGCTGAAGAGCAAGATATGGGATTTACCAGAAGAAAACAACATTCTTCCTGTTTTAAGATTAAGCTATCATCATCTGCCTTCGCATTTGAAGCATTTGTTTGCTTATTGTTCCATATTTCCAAAAGACTATGAGTTTGACAAGAATGAGCTGGTGTTATTGTGGATGGGAGAAGGTTTTCTGCACCAAAAAAGAGGGAATAAAGAGATGGAAGAGTTAGGCTTCGAGTGTTTTAATGAACTATTGTTGAGATCCTTTTTCCAACGACTAAGTGGCACTGATTCACGTTTTGTGATGCATGACCTTATGAATGATTTGGCTCAACTTGTTGCTGGAGGGAAGTGCTACAGGCTTGATGAGAAGGTAAATACTAACAACGAATATAGAGTACCAGAAAAAACTCGCCATGCTTCATTCCTGCGTCATGAATTTGAAGTTTACACAAAATTCAGGGCATTCAAACAAGTTCAAGGTTTGAGAACTTTTATACCGATGCCTGTCCAAAATTCACACGTTTGGCCTCCTTTCTACTTATCCAACAAGATCTTACTTGAATTGCTTCCAGAGCTTCATCGCTTAAGAGTGCTATCTCTAAGCGGCTATTCCATCACTGAGCTTCCAAGTAACATCTGCAAGTTGTTACATATACGGTACCTCAATCTATCTGGCACTTCTATTGTTTCATTGCCCGACTCTATAAGTGATCTCTTCAACTTGCTCACTTTATCATTAAGTAATTGCCGCTTTATCTGTCGGTTACCATCGGCAGTAGGAAGTTTATCCAAACTACGGCATCTTGACATCTCTAACACTGATCAACTGAGGGAAATGCCGATCGAAATCGGTAATTTGAAAAGCCTGCGGACATTACCAAAACTTGTTGTCAGCAAAGTCGGTGGCTTGGGACTGAGGGAATTGAGGAATCTTGAGCATTTGCGGGGGACACTTGCCATTTCAGAATTGCAAAATGTGACGGACATCGAGGATGCAAAGGAGGCATGCTTAAGGCATAAGCAAGAACTCGTTGAATTACAACTGGCATGGGGAAATGATATTGATGTTTCTATTGAAAGGAGTTCTGAAAAAGAAGTGCTAGACATGCTACAGCCTCATGAAAACTTAAGAAATCTCAAGATTGAATTCTATAGAGGTGAAAACTTCCCAAGTTGGGTAGGGGATAAATTATTTTGCGAATTGTTGAGTATAAGCCTCGGCAGCTGTAGTGAATGTACATCTTTACCCCCACTTGGGCAACTTCCCAAGCTCAAACATCTGCGCATAGAAGGCATGCGAAAAGTAAAACACGTTGGTGTTGAATTTTGTGGTTCTGTGGTTGTCCCATTTCAAAGACTCGAGAGTCTAAGATTTTATGACATGCCAGAATGGGAAACATGGTCCCGTTCTGCAGATGGTGAGGTATCTGAGAACCAGTTCCCTCATCTTACTCAGCTTACTATATTCAAATGCCCCAAGTTAACTAATGTTTCTCCATTGAAGCTTCCCATTCTTCATGAGTTGGACCTTCAGGAATGCAACAATGTAGTGTTACGAAGTTTCAGTAATCTTAGTAAGTTAAACTACTTGAAAGTTGAGTCTGTTACAGGGCTATCTCATCTACCGGGGGAACTTCTGCAGTCCACTGAATCACTTGAAGTTTTAGAGTGTTGTAATTGCAGGGAACTGCTTTCACTGTGGGAAAATGGAGTTACAGTAGAACATCTTGTCCGGCTACGACGTCTCGTCGTTGCCGACTGTTCGGAACTTGTATCCCTTTGTGAAGAGGAGCAACAGATGCCTTGCAATCTTGAAGTTCTGGAATTATTTCGCTGTGCAAGTTTAATGTCCATTCCAAACATAAGCAACCTTAGGATCCTGAGGGAGTTTATAATCAAGAATTGCCAAAGACTTGTCAGCTTTTCGGAAAATGGCGTCCCTCCCATGCTTCGACGCCTTGAGATACTCAGCTGCAATGCCCTAGAATCCCTGCCTCGTAGCTTCTCAAACCTTGAAAGGTTGGAGATTAAGGACTGCTCGTCTCTGAGGACCTGTTTGGATGGTAACTTCGCTATCACACTTAAAAAACTTTCCATCAAAAACTGCAATCAACTTGCAGAGGCAATGCTTCCTCCGAACAGTGACATTTCTCTGGAAGAGCTTACTATATCTAAATGGCTGAATTTCAGCTCTCTAGTTCAGCATGTGCACAGCTTTTCGCATCTTTTTGAACTGTATCTTTCTGATTGTAATGGTCTAGATAACTTCCCAGAGCAAGGATTGCCACCAAACTTGAGGACACTTTCCATCGAACATTGTTCAAATCTTAAGTCCTTGCCAATGCAGATTCGAAACCTCACATCCCTCGTATCACTTGAGATACGTACTTGTCGCAGGCTTCAGAGCTTCCCAAGATGTGATTTTCCCCCAAATTTATCTTCACTAAGGATCTGGGATTCTAGGAAACTCAAGCCTCTAGCAAGGTGGGGCCTACACAGACTAACCTCTCTTCGAGAATTTTCTATCTGTGGTGGATTTCAAGAACTCGAGTTTCTTGGTGATGATGGTGGTCTCTTTCCTCGTTCTCTAATAAAGTTTTCTATTGCTAGATTTCCGAAACTTACTTCGCTCTCTAAGGTTCTTGAAAACCTCACTTCTCTGCAACACCTATCAATCATGAATTGTACGAGCCTTAGTGTTTTGCCCAGTGAAAACCTTCTCGACAAGCTTTGGCATCTAGAGATAAGTGACTGTCCCCCTCTGAAACATAGGTGTCTCAAAGATAAAGGGGAGTATTGGAACAAGATATCTGGAATTCCTTGTGTAGAATTAGACGGCACTTACATTTACAGACAGAGTTCGGGTTAAGCTGCTGTAATTTTCCATCGTTAGAGGGTATCAGAGACCATATCTTTACTGCATTATCAGGTAAATAAGTGTACAAACAATAATACATTTTATTTGGCCTTCTTTGATCCATTGAAAGCCCTTTGTTTACCTGTTTTGATACAGCAATTGACTAGCATATTGCACTGGAAATGAATAAGTTAAGTGCTGCTTCCCTTTTGATTGATCTTCTGTTTATGTGCAGTTTGCCAGCACTGTCTAAAACTGTCTATGCATGCATGAAAAAGAGAACAACAGTTTCGATCAAGGGGTGAATGAACTTTCAATATGGTGACCGACGACCTATTTGATTGAAGCATTATCGTATCTTTGATGCTTGCTCTCGACATGCTACCACAGCAAGAAGTAAGAAAAATTATACAAATTTTAAGCCTCTAAATGCAGACCCAAGGTTGTGTTACTGCAAGTCTGGTATTTTCTTTAGATCTAAATGCTTTGATTGGGATTTCAGAATACTTTCTTACATTTCAGAATATTTCTGAATACTTTCTTACATTTTCTATGCCGATATTGCAAGGATGTGCTTAACCAACTATTGTTTGTCTCATGTATTTGGCAAGTTAATTTTAGGTGTCGTTTTGTTGAACGCTTTATCTGAAAAAGCTTAAACTCTTATAAAGTGGACAAATTATTTATTTAAAGTTTTTCTTCGACACACCCGTCACTTGCAGACCACCTCATTTGCGAGGAAAGGTCGGCACGTGCATAATTCCATGTTCTGATGCCATGTTAAATTGTTAACCTGCTTTGCTTAAATTTTATACTTTTAGAGCAGGGACGAAATTTCTTGTATAAGTTGTCTTTGGCAAATCTAATTTCGTGTTTTCACATATTTACTCAAATGGCTACCACACATGTGACCCACAAACGTATTATCTTGCTTTCTTATCAAAAATAATTAGTGCTGTATGACAAAAGAAGTCACAAGCGACCAGTAACATTTTTTGATGGCTAGAACCTGCTCTTTATTTTCTTCTATTGGGAGAAAAGAGGCCCCAGCTTTTTGTTCTAAATATTTGAGTTCGCGAGTAATTGACATATTTTTCTTTAGCTCTATGAGTCACAGCATGTTTGGTCCCGCTTTAAAAAAGTACTTTTTACTCTTTTGAGCCATATGCATGGACTTGCAGTCAAAAGCACGTAAATAAGTGATTCTTTTTGATATTTTATGCTAGGAGCATGCTATGTGTACAACTGAGTGCCTTACATGTGAGGGGTTGTTAATCCCGATCGTACAACTAGCAAAATTGTTTATGTTGTCATTCATTTTCATTGCCATCCTTCAATCATTAATTTCAAGGTGAACTCACTAAACTCTAAAATATTCTAATTTTGGCTACTGCACTTTGAGATGGATGAATTTTGACCATTAAATCTGAAAAAAATATATTCTCTTGCTTACTAAACTTTGAAAAATATTTTCTGTTGTTCACTAAACTTTTAGGTGGTCGAATTATGACCACTGCACTTTGAAAAATGTGTGTTATTGCTTATAATAATTTGGAATTAATTAAACTTTGTTGTTAATATTTGGATTTATTTAATTCCAACAACGAATTTAACCCCTGTTTGATAGAAATTATTTTTAAAATTTTTATCAAACTCAAAATCAATAATTAATTTTAATCACATATTTCATAATATCTACAATTTTTTAACAATGCATTTTATTAACTATTATCAAAATTTGCTAATAATTTTATTTTAATCATCACCAAACAAGGGCTTATTGCCTGTTTCATTGTAAACTTCAAATATTTAAATTTAGTTTTAACTTAATTTTAATAAAAAAATAATTGTATATTTTGTTGTGAAATTCAAATATTATGATAAACAACGCTTGCAAAATTGTGCAAAGGAAGTGACTACTAATTGCAATGAAATACACAATAAATTTTTTTTTAAAATTAAATTAAATCCAAACTTTAATATTTGAATTTTACAACAAAAAATAAAGTAGTTAGAATTAAATTCAATTCAATTTATAATAACGAATTTTAATTAAATCCAAAATTATTGTGAGGAATAAAAGACGTTTTCAAAATTTAATGATCAAAAAATTTGACCAACTTAAAGTTTAGTGGTCAAAATTCAACCACCTCAAGGTTAAGTGAGCAATGGAAGACGTTTTTCAAAATTTATTGCGAAATTGAAAGCATTTTTCAAAGTTTAGTGAGAATAAAAACGTTTTTCAAAATTTAGTGAGCAATCGAAGATATTTTTCAAAGTTTACCAACCAAAATTTGATTATTTCAAAGTTTAATGGGTGATGGGGCGTCACGTGTGCATTCCGTCAACCATGCCATCAATTTATAAGCATTGATAAGCGTGTAAAATACACCTAATGTCGAATATCTTTTAGAGGAAAGGGAAGGGAGGTACCAATCTTTCAACCATTGACATTGGTTGTACAAATAGCAATCCTTGATCGATTAGGACTATTTTGACTACATCGTTCAATATTACGTGTCAACTATTTAAAATGGCCGATCTCGAAGCTACGTTGACCAATTCGCTAGATGTCAACAATGTCTTCCTTCATAAAAACGTAAATGAAGAGTTTTAAGTGCCAGCCATCAGGTTGTATTGATTCTACTTATCCTAATCACATTTATCACCTTTGAAAGGTTTTCTAACTGCTTAAACAGACATAATGCTGAAGTATTTTGTCTTATCTTATAGCCTTAGCAATTCCAAATCAAAATAGGAGCATCCACTTTCCATTTCCAAGGCTTGATGATTTAGTTGTCGCGGGGAACGCTGTTAAGTATATTGAGACCTTCATTGATGCTCTATAATGACAACTTTCAGTAAAAAATCTTGGAGATCTCAACAATTTTTAGGTGTTGAAGTGATTCTTGTATCCAATGACTACTTACTTACACGACACTCGTCATAATTTGATGGTGTTGAAGGGACATGTCAACTTCTACCAACTCTCTTACATATGGCACTTCTTTTGCAAATGCTTATCGATAAATGAGTGTTATAGGTGGCCTATAGTATTAGTACCTCTCACTCACAAGGCTACACATTGCTTACTCATCAATAAATTGACTCATTTTATGCATGTTTCACCCTATCTCAAGTTCACCATGCAATACAATGTGAAACACTAGCACACTCATATGCTGATTAGGCGGGTAATATAGATGATTACATCCCTTTCTCAGTCTTGATTGTTTTTCTCGACCACAATGCTATTTCTTAGTTCTCTAAAAAGCAAAAGGGCGGTTGATCGATCTTCAATAGAAGTTGAGAATCTGGTTATTGCTTCAGCTACAGCTGAAATTTGATGGATATTTAACATGTCAGAACTCGGTCTATCTTCGTACAAGTTCCTCAACTAAGATGTAAAACAAACTCACAGAGAAACTTTTGCTCCAATCCGGTATTTCATTTTCTTATCAAACACCTTTCACTTGATTGCCACTCTATCTGAGAAAAGGTAGGTGGTGCCTTGCTTCATATCTTTCTTGTGTCGTATCATGATCAACTTGCAATCACCCACCAAACCACGCATTGTACAGTGCTTCTCTCTTCTTTGTTCCAAGACTGTTGTTGATAGCACTACCATCTTATAGGGACATATTTGAAAAGAATCTCGTCATCGATGTAATGCTACATAAGAAATCATGGGGTTGTATTTGTAATCAGTGGGGGATCCAGGATTTCGGGTGAGATAGGGCAATCATTCACCGTCAATAGCCACAATAAAATTAAGGGAACCATTCTTTCCTAAAATAGACACGTGAAATTGGTGATAGGTCACGTCATTCATTTTGTCCATGTTAAGCATTATATTTTTCACACATATCATATTAAAGTAAATTATTAAGTGTCTACATGTTGGGAAATTATTAATTTGTCATGTGGGCCAATATATGTAATTAATTGTGTATAAATATCATTTCAAAATTAAACCCAAAATTAAAGTGATTTAATAAAGAATTAAGCGACTGGACTTAGGGTATTAACATAAAGTGTGGGCCCGATTATATGTGTAGAGATCAGATTCCTTTAAGATTGTATTTCATGATAGACGAAATACATATGGAAACTATATACAGGGTTATGGTTCCAACTTTATATGCAACTTCTCATACTTTTCGTCATCTTATCAACACAAGAATACAAGAGAAAGCATATTGAAGTGGAAGATTCAAAATTCACAATCAAAAACAGGTAATCTACAATCAAGAATCAAGAAGAATGATTCAAGAACTCAAGAATTCATAATTAAGAATCAAGATTAAAGATTCGAAAGACAAAATTCAAATGTTATAATTCAAAATTCATCATTTGAGATACAAATCAATGGATCAAAGTATGTTCCGCATTAATTAATTTTCTTGATAATTTGACATGGAGGATCTTGACAATAAAGTAATTAGGTTTTCATGTTTATTAAGATTTAAAATTCTATAAAATTTCAATAATGGTATCAGAGCCAACTTCATGTTAAACCATTGGGATTAAATGAAGAATTTTGTAGTTGAAATTCATATATTGAATTTTGGAATATGTATTTCAGTCATAAATTTTGAAATTCATAATTATTCAAGAAAGAATTTTAGGGTTGAAAGTTATAATTTGAATTTTCCAATTTAGAATATGATTTTTTAACCCTGAAATTCAAAATTCACATTTTTTAGGTTTTTCAAAATATTTGATTCAAAACAACAGCTGTGGCTTCTCGGCTTCACATCCGGGCACTGCAGTGATCGAGGACTGTCGTAAGGTATCATGACCCGCACTACGACGCTAGGTGCAGTGCCTGAGTGCATTGCCTAGCTAGGCGGTGCTATGGCGTGGCGTCCGATTCAAACACTGTAGAGCCAATTTTTGGGTAATTTTTTTCTTTCCATCACAAAAGAGAAAAAAAAAAAATAAAAGTAAAAATATAAAGGGGCAATCAATTTTAGATCTTGGTATTTAAAGTTTCTTTCGAATTACTAATTTTCTAAAATAGATTAGTTGAAACAACATATTACCAAAGTAACCTCTCTTATCTAAATTAATTTATTTGAAATATTTTAAAGGCTGTGTGTACGTAATTTATAGGGATATTCATGATCAAAATGAGGGTCAATATTTGACAAAATTATTTACACATAAGTGGTAATAAATATGTGACAATTGTAAAGTTTTCCATTATGTGAACATTGAGTTGATTCGAAAATAGACCTGATGTTTGACCAAACTTATTGTCAATATTTGACTACTACACCAAGAGTACAACTTACAAGTTCACATTTTTGTCTAAAAACTAAATATCAATGTTGTACTATGTCTTTTGTGATGAGGCCCACCACTATTTAAATTATTGATTGTCCAATACGAATTTTTACGTGAACATGTTATTTAGGTTTAGGTTCTCTATTCGGTTTAATCCATCTACTTTTGCAATACCTTCTAACATCAATTAAATTCTTGCGCTTGAACCAAAGTTTAAGAACTGGAAAGAGAATGTTTGTATCATTCTTGACGCATGGATCTAGACTTGCGTTAAGGACTTAGCAATTCACTACTCATATGGATAAGGGTTCCGCTAATAAATCGTTCAAACTGCATAAGTCTTGTGATTATGAAGCATAAAATTTCACAACATTTAAGTGCACTGTGTCCAATAAGGTAACTA